TCACAGATCAAAGCCTGAAGCGTGCAACCTCTGGGCTGATCTAAGTCAGGGCATGGCTAACTCACAGATCAAAGCCTGAAGCGTGCAACCTCTGGACTGATCTAAGTCAGGGCATGGCCAAATCACAGATCAAATCGGAATTTAGCTTGTTAGGTTTACAGAGGGAGGAAAACCAGAGAACCTGAAGAAAAGTCTTTGATTTAAGGGTGAGATTTAACAAACTGTACTCACAAGTGTTGCCAAGTCCAGGAATCAAACCCCAGACCCCAGAGGTGAGGGAAGTGTATTAATGCCAAGTCTTGAAACTCTGCTATCACATCCCATCACTACCATCACTCACYAACCATTGTTGCAATGCCTAACTTTTTCAGGATATACGAGAGGAGATGGCTGAAGATGCCCAGGCAGAAATTGATCTACGGCTTTTAATGAAAAACCCTAAATCCAAAATKGGAAGAAAACCCTATGGTAAGTAGAATTTTTTACCTACATCGTTAATGCATTTCTACTGCGACATGCCGTTTTTTGGTACTATATGAGCGTAAGTAAAAGATTAAAATTATTAGTCTTTGGCTACTTCACTTTCAAAGTAAAAATTTCTTTTCTTGACAAGTGATCTAATAAGTAAATAATATGACATTATGTACTAGATCTATCATCATCATCATCATCATTATTATCATCATCATCATTATTGAATATGTTATTGATGACATAACATTATTTCATAAAACATGATAACAAGGATGAAACGTTTTTCACTTTGTTCAAACTTGATATCTTGTCAGTTGCATGTGACTAAGATACAGTGACCTGAATTAATAGACAGATATAATCATGTCTTTGTTGGCCTWGGAATCCATGTTATTTTAATTTCTGGAGCCTGTGGTATATTAAGCAGGACATACCATTCATATATGTCATAAGTAAATGCCATTATCAAACTCATTAATAATTCATGAGGAAAACACAACAGAAATCATGACTGTGGAGAGTGTTGTAAATCTGATACAAAACTGTGTTCATTTGCATAAACTTTAAGTTGGATTTTCTTGGCCAGATTCACTTTAATTTTAAAAATTTTAGTGAAACACAAAGGAACTAACCTAGACGTTTGATAAGTAATATACAATATTCGTGTCYGTGTTATAACCGATATACAATCACTTGCCTTCGGCTCGTGGTTGTATATCTGATACAACAYGGCCACTCATACTGTATATATTACTAAAAGTTTCTCATTGAGGGATATGAGGGATATAAAACCAAGGAATATGATTATGTTATTATCTATATTCTAATATCTATAATCTAGCACTAGATTTGTAGTTTTTTTCTTTCAAGAATGGAAGAATTATTTAGTTTACATTGTTGCATCAAAATGTGGTTAATCAACAGAGCAAGCATCCTTATGCCTTTGAAAGATCAGATAGTGATTTAGCAATTTTTTTATGGAGGGAGGAAAATCTGAGAACGGCTTGAAAAAAACCTCAAAGCATTATATACTCTAGAACCAATAAACAATTCTACTGCTCATATTTGATGTAGACAGCAGTGAGAAGAGGCAGTGGGTACATGAGAGGCACATACCACCAGATCTACCCTTCTAAGTTAAGATTCATACTTGAAAGTAACTCTGAACAAGAGCAAAACGTCTTGAAATGTTGCCCAAATGAAGATAATGACTGTGACTTACCAATTCTTTGAGTTTCTCGATGAAGATGAAGACAGAYCCAAAATCAAATCAGTAATTAGCCTTAGCAGTGGTTCATATACTGTGGGTTGTAGTAAAGCTACTCAAAGCAGTTTCCTCATTGCATAAATTCTTACCTCTCTGCCCATGATAATTAATTATTTTTTAGCTTCGAATTTGAGACTAATAGCTGTTCTTTCATAGTTTTGTTCTGCTTGCAATGTCTGGTTGGAGTCATAACAACTGACACAAAAGTGCATGTTCAGCTGTTTTTAAATTCGGTCAAAAATTGCTGCTTAAAACCTTTTCTTCCTCTTCCTCTTTACTGACGAAATGTTCTAACATAGATAYGACAGTAATTTCTGATGAAATCCCCCCAAAATGCTTTTAAGAGTATTCTTTAGGTGTTATACGTAGAGAGTGCATTAGTTCCATGTTCCATTACTCTTGGTGAAAGGGTTAGAATGCAAATTAAATTTAGAGGGCTGTGATATTGCGAGATGTCATGTGACGTGTTATGTGACACCACGGGGCAGTCACGAGATAAATGTTATCACCAAAAATACTTAGGATTATTTTAAGCATGGACACATGCAATAGCTATCAGGCCTACCTTTTTTAGTCTTTAGTATTTTCTCCAAGATGTTTTTATTTTTCTCATTTGCAGAAAGGACATCAGGGAAGCCGTGGGTTATTCATGAGGCATTTCAGATCGTGATTAAAAAACAGCTGGAATTTCTCATAAAAATTGGAGTTGATGCCAAAATCAAGGTAATAACTTTTTATGTTTAATTGTTTTGGGATACCTGTGGTAAGGTGCAGTTGCCTTGTTGGGCTTCCTGTGCTCTCTATGTCACAAGATAAAGAGAGGTTAAAGGCTTTTGAGATTCTGGTTCAGGAGACTTAGCAGGCGCTCCCTGTACGATTAAAATAATATTAGATGAGAGGTAAGATAATAAATGTGAGGTAAAATAAATGACATTTTTACTTTCTTGCTAATAGACCATTTCACAGATCCCGCGGCCTCAACCTCAACCTATACTCTTTAGAAATTGCTTACAACCTGTGAAATTTTTAAGTGTTTCAATTGTTCGTTGATGTGTAAATTTCTTTCATTACTGCGGACTGTAGTCAAA